TTATAAGATTTCTTTGTTTGAAGCTACTGTTACAACTGAGCTAATCCTTTGGTTTCAGATGATGTAAATTTATTAATTCCTTCCACCCACCTTCACAAACGAAATTAATAGCTGAATTTATTCTGACTTCCCTCTGTAGCATGAGGTTATTTACAGTGCGGGAAATCAATTATCCACTTAAAGAAGCAAAATATTTTATCCTGCATCCATTCACTAACTATGCATGTGTTACTGTATCATTGTATGCAAATGCGTACGGAGATTGTTGTTGATTGATAGTTTAACGTTTGCTTTCTTCTATTCTAATATTTTGTGCTGTTCCCTCAGGTGAAAGAGCTCTATTTGACGCAGCCGATGAGTTGATGGGTGTCGGATTGAATGAACTTTTTATGCAACAGCAGCAGCAGCAACGACAACAACAATACGCTGCTGCAGCCGCAGCGGCTGCAGCTGCAGCTGCAGCAGCTGCCAATCAACAAGCCGTTTATGTAGATGGAATTGGACGCATCGTACAGGGTCCGGCGTCTGGATCCGCTCATCTGATGCAACAACAACAGCAACAGCATCAGGCTGCCGCGGCTGCGGCTGCAGCAGCTGCAGTCTCGAGTAACGGTCTTCATCAACAGAACCAACTTCACCTTGGCCGATCTTTGCGTCAGGGTCGATCCGTTGTCATGACTGTGGTCCGGCCCCGCGGTGTTTCTGGACGACCAGTAGCTGAGTTCTTACCTGGGGAATTGCGCAACAAAGACTACGTTAAGGGTTATATGGCTTCAGAGATATATAAGAAGGCGGTCAAAGACACACTTGGTCAGAAGTCCACGCCAAAGAAGTAAGTGTTAATCTTAATTCATTTCTAATCATTCTCTTGAATTTCTACTAATGGACACAATCTCGAAGATAGTTTATTTTGTTCTTAGATCAATATCTCAACGAAAAATATCATTAGGTCTCGTTTCGACCGATATGTTGGTTATAATATTTTTATATTAAGGTTTCAATACTATTAGTTGATCTTGGATAAGAACCGAAGTAGCCCTAGATCGCATAAGGTGATAGTTGACTGATAGTTAAAAATTTCCAACATTGATATGAGTAGGCCTCAGGATGCCTCTCGAAAGTAGTCTCCCCAGATTTCACCAGCACCCTCAATGTGATTTAAAACCGAGACATGTATGTAAGGTAGCGATATGTTGCCATTACTCCACAGCCAAGAGCGCCCTGGGCCACAATGCAGACATGACTTTTAAGGCAAATTAGGTCTCTTCCTTTTCACATTTGTAGTGGGATTTGTCTGTGAGCCAAACTTGTATTTACCATTACAAGTTTTCGATACTATCAGGGGCGTATAAGATAAAGCCGGCTAGTCTTATTTGCTTAGTGTTGAATGTAAGCCTTTGTAAGTCAAAGCTCTGACGAAATCTGCCATTTTCATGCAGGTCGAAATCTTATCCTGTTCTAATCGGAACCGAAGGGGGATATCTCGTGAACTGTGTCAACCTGAACCTTGTGGTAAAATCAATCAAGTGAAGTGCAACGGGAATCAGACATTGTTTTTTGGTGAGATTGATATTCGAGTTTCTCCATCGGCAGTTTCACGCGAACTGAAAGTCAACACAGCAATTTTATCTTAGGAGATTCATTGAAACCCAGTCGCTCTTCAGATATTCTCTCATGATCTACTCTGAAAAAGCTTTTCTTTCTTATGTGAGGTCTCCTACTGAGATCGCATTTAGTATACATCATTAATTTTGAGATCATTGTTATGATATTTTGCGATGTTTTAGGCTTTAATTTTTGGCCTACTGTGACATTCTCTCTCGTCATATATGTGGCGATCAAATTAATCAGTCATTTTCTATGGTTGCTTATTTCTCCAAGTTGAAAATTGTAAACAACTTTTGTTCAATCTTGTAATTCTGTTGACAATCTTTAACTACCTTTCTTATGAGTCTTTAGACATTTTTTCCTTGCTATTAAATAAATTTGTTAGCTTTTCACACATTTTTATTTCAAAGTTAATTTTCGCTTAATAATCCCTTCGTGTATTAATAATAATTTCCCTACTCATAAGATGAAACGCTTATTTTAGAATAAGCTGGCATTTTCTTAGGCGAATTATGGAAAAAGCCTCTGAATTATTTTAATTTTTCTTCTTTTTAGACGGCCTGGTCCTGGTCGGCCCCGTAAATCTGACCAGCTATCTACTGGCAATAGTGGCGGTCTTTGCACTGCCTCTGCAATGCGTAACTCAGGTGCTGTATGGCCGAGTTCTGGAGTTTCTGCAGCCGGCTCCAATCTGGTGCCTTTGAGTGAACTGAACACGGCTGCGGCCGGTTCCAGTTTGGTTGGCGGAAGCACAGCTGCAACGGCCTCACTCCTGGAGGCAGGCGGCGTTGGGTTGGGTAAATTCTTTAGAATGCTTGAATTATGCCCTCATGCTGCATCATTGTTCAAGCTCTTAGCTAAATCAATATCTTGGTATTGGTCTACATACGCTTTGCGTTTTGCTGATTTAAAGTCATGGATACCTCAAAATTTAGGTGCCAAAAGTCATGTTATCAGAATTTCTCTCCTAATCAAATAATTTAGGGACAATGCTGTAGTTTCTTATTTATATTTTTCTAT